CACCCTGATTGACCTGTGCTGCATATGAAAGCCTTTGCACATCACTTATGATTTGAGTTTACAGATGTTACCTGGTTTGAGCAAAAGTAGAGTTTGCGTTTCTCTTCCTCAGTCTCCTTGATACCTTTGGTGCTTTCAGAAAGTAGAAGGGGTAACGCATCCTTTTCTTTTTTTAATTGACAAGATTTTTTTTCAGTTTTATTAAGATATAATGGGCAAAATTGTAAGATATTTAAAGAGTACATTGTGATTATTTGATTTACATATACATTGTGAAAGGATTCCCCCATCTAGTTATTAATATAATCATCACCTCATGTATTTATCTTTTTTTTTCTTTTTGGTGAGAACACTTAAGTTCTGCCCTCCTAGCAAATTTCAGTTACACAGTGTTATCAGCTATAGTCACCATATTAGATCCTCATACCTATTCATCTTTGCCTGAAAGTTTGTATCATTTTACCAACCTCTCCCCATTTCCCCCACTCTCCACATTCCTAACAACCCCTAACAACCACATTTCTACTCTCTGTTTCTATGAGTTCAACTTTTTTTTTAGATTCCACATATATGTGATGCCATGCAGTATCGGTATTTGTCTTTCTCTGTCTGGCTTATTTTACTTAGCATCAAGCCCTCAAGGTTGAGGGCAAACACCAAGATTTCCCTCCTTCTCATGACTGAATAATATTCTCTTGTGTATAAATATATGTACCACATCTTCTTTATCCATTTATCCATTGATGGACACTTAGGTTGTTTCCGTATCTTGGCTACTGTGAATAATGCTGCAATAAACACAGGAGTGCAGATATCTCTTTGAGATCCTATTTTCATTTCCTTTGGATGCATATCCAGAATTAGGATTGCTGGATCATATGATAGTTCTATTTTTAACTTTTGAGGAACCTCCATACTGTTTTCTGCAGTGGCTGCACCAATTTACATTCGTATCCACGATGCACAAGGGTTCTCTTTTCTCCACATCCTTGGCAACACTCATTCGTTGTCTTTTTTGTAATAGCCATTCTAACAAGTGTGACGTGGTTTGGATCTACATCTCCCTGATGGTTAGTGATGCTGAAGACCTTTTCATGTACCTATTGGCCATTTGTATGTCTTCCCTTTGGAAAAAATGTCTGTTCAGTTCCTCTGCCTATTTTTAAATCAGATTATTTGGTTTTCTGCTATTGAGATATGTGAGTTCTTTAAATATTTTGGATATTAACCCCTTGTTAGATACATGATTTGCAAATATTTTCTTCCATTCAGTAAGTTGACTTTTCATTTTGTTGATGATTTCCTTTGCTGTGCAGAAGCTTTTTAGATTGATATAGTCCTACTTGTTTATTTTTGCTTTTGTTGCCTTTGCTTTTGGTGTCAAATCCAAAAAATCATTGCCAAGAGTTTGCATTTCTATTTCTCAGTCTCCTTGACAGCTTTGTTGATTCCTGGAAGTAGAAAGGTCAGTACATTTTTTGCTCCACTATTTTAAATAGACCTTCTCTCTCTTGTTTTTAAATAGACTCTCTTTATCAAATTTTTGTTTAGAACATTTTTGTTTGAATAGGCAATACATTATACAGAATTTAAAAGATACAAAAGGGCATATAAAAAAGGGCATATATAAAAAAGAAATATCCCTTTGTCCACTCAGTTCCCCTCCCCAGAAACAATACTCAAACCAGCTGTTTTGTGTTTCTTTCCAAAAATACTCTATATACGTTCAATCAAAAGTCTATAGCCTTTCCTTCTTTGGAAATGGTAGCATATCACATATGTTATTCTGTACCACAGTTTATTCAGTTAATGTATTTTGAAAATCATTCTACGTAAATATCCTTATGCTTTCCAATAACAGTTAGTATTACATTGTATGGATGTACCATAATTTATTTAACCATTCCGCTCTTGATGGGAAGCAAACTCCGCAGCCAATACATCACTTTCTACATGCACAAATTTAACTATAGGTTAAACACCTTGAAGGGAAATTGCTTTGTCAAAAGGGATATGCATTTTTAATTTTGAAACATGATGGATGCTTTGCATAAATGTACCAATTTTCACCCACCCAAGCAATAGACGATATTGCCTTTCAACCCACACCCTCCCAAACACAATTACCAGACTGTTTTATCTTTGCAAATCTGATCAGTGAAAATAATATCTTAGTACAGTCTTGTTTTGCATTTCTCTTATTTTGAGTATTGTTGGCAATCTTTTCAAATATTTATAAACCATTTGAATTTTCTTTTTGGAAACTATCTGATCCTTTTTCTGTTGGATTGGTCTTTTTCTCCCTGATTTTTAAGAGTTCTTATTTATTAATGAAATTAGTATTTTGTCTGTGATATGAGCCATGATTATTTTTCTCATTTTTCTACTTTATTTGACCAAATGTTTTAAAGATTATAAATCCACAGTAAGTCATTAAAACAAAGTGATAGTAAAAATAAACAGTCTGATCTATGGAAGAGAAATGGGCACAAGTGTATATGAAAACATACGGAAATAACTTGTGACCAAAATGAAATTTCAAATCCTTTGGAAAATGAGGTATTATGCAATAAATAGTGTTAATATAAATAACCAGAGGTTCCAAACAATAAACTGGATCAATATCTTACTCCATACTCAAAATAAACTCCAGATGCACCAAAATTTTAAATGAAAAAAGCAAAACTACAAAAGAACTAGAAGAAACATGGATAGATTTTTCTAAATCTCACAGTGAGAAAGGCTTTGTTTAAAAGGCATGAAAGCAAGAAACATAAAGAACAGCACTGACAAATTTGGCTACATATAAATTTTTAAATTATCTATGGGAAAAAGAAACAGCAGAATTTTGGAGCATATATTTATTTCTATAAACTCATTTTTTTTAAAAATGCATGTAGTAAAAAAAGTATTCAAATACTACAAATGAGGGGCTGGCCCCGTGGCTGAGTGGTTAAGTTCATGCACTCCACTTCAGTGGCCCAGGGTTTCACCGGTTCAGATCCTGGGCGCAGACATGGCACCACTCGTCAGGCCACGCTGAGGTGGCGTCCCACATAGCACAACCAGAGGCACTCACAACTAGAACATACAACTATGTACTGGGGGGCTTTGGGGAGAATAAGAAGGAAAAGAAAAGAAAAAAAGAGAAAAAAGAAAATAAAGGAAAAAAAATGATTGGTAACAGTTGTCAGTCAGCTCAGGTGCCAACCTTTAAAAAAAAAAGATTAGGCTGGCATTGAAAAAAAAATACTACAAATGTGTGTACAATGAAAACTATGTCTCCATTCCACCAAAGATCCTCCTTGCTCCTCAGGCTCCAGTGTGCTCCACCAGTTTCTCTTGTGTCCTTCAAGCAATATTCTATACATATATAAGCACACATGCACACACATACACACACACACACATTTCACAGATTTTTTTAATATCTTCATAACTAAATCTGTCTCATCCTTTTTCATAAGGTACGTTACCCGTTGTTCCCTTTTTTATTATTCTTATAAACGATGGACATCACCTCTTTTTGCCCAGATAGGCTGGATTTATCTGCAGGGTGCATATGTTACAGTGGAATTTATAGACAGCCCTAAAGCTACTCAGTTGCCCTCCACAGAGGTGGTCCCGGTTACACATCCAAGTGGGGAGTTGATGGAAGCAGCTAGAGAGATGAACCTGGTGCTTAAGGAAGAGATCAGAAAGTGGACATATAATTTGAGGGGAATCAGCATAGAGATGGTTTAGAGAGAGAAAAAAAAGAGAGACTAAGGAGAGAATACTTGAGTTCTCCAACATGTAGAGGCTGGAAGGGAAGACAGAGACAGGAATAGAAACAGAGAAGAAGCAGTCACTGAAACAGGAGAAAAACCAAGAGATTGTGATGTCCCAGAAGCCAGATAGACAAAAGGTTTCAAGGAGAGCATTATAAATTCTGTTAAATGCTCTGAGAGACAGAGTAAGGCGAGGACTGGAAACTGAGGATTTGAATTTAGAAGGGGTAAAGCCCTGATTCCAGGGATCGGGGAGGGAATAGGAAGTGAGAAACTGGCGATGGTTAAGTGTAGAAAACTCTTACAGGGAATTTTGCTGTTAAGGGGACAGTACACGATAGATAACGTAGGGTCCAAGGAGACCTTTTTAAAAGTAGAGATATAATGAAAGCATGTTCACATGCTGATGGGAATGGCCCAGAGAGGAGAGAAGGGGGAGGACACAGGCTTTGAGGAGGTGTGAGACGGAGGGGCCCCTCCACAGGTGGGAGGAGTCCAGCGAGCTCAGGCACTAAGCAGGGCACAAGGCGGAACGTGGGGATGGACTTGGAGATTCATTGAAGACTCAGTGATAGGAAGAAGAGGAAGTTCTTGAGTGAGTGATTCTGTATTCTGAGGGAATCAAAGGGAGCTCATCAGCAGAGAGTGAGGATTAGAGAAGGAGAGGTACAGGCTGGAGGAGAGAGGAGGAGACGATGCTATCCTGGAAGACTGAAGGAGTGGACTGAAATGGAGAAACATGGCAGGATTTCTGGACAGTGACAAGCTGGGACTCATGAATCTCTGGTGGGACCAGTCAGCGTGGGTGCATATTTTTCCAACTAGGTTCACTTTGTTGGGTACAGTCTGCACTTTGGGTTTATTCAGGGCTGGGGTTTTGCAACAAGTACAATGAAGAGGGAGAGGGGCAAGGGAATTGAGGATATCTGCAAGGGAGTATGTAGAGGGGTGGACATGAAACCTAAGCTGGGTAAGTTGAAACATAGGCAATGGACAGTTAAAAAGTGTAGGGGCCATGGTTTAGAGGACTGAACGGGACAGAGATTGGATTGCACTTGCTAAACTGAAGGAGCTCAACAAATAGAAAATGGAAATCAGAGAGAGGGGGTGCTGAAGTGGAGATTGGAGGTGGTAGTTATTAGTAATGGAAAGGTCTAGGGGATGGCCATGGGACGGGACTCTGAGACAATGCATGGCTAACAGCTATCATTGACCACACTTGTGATGCAGAACTCGAGGAGTCTGAGCAGAGATGCCCACCCTGCCTGACCAGATTGGCTCAGAAGTATCTGATCTGGGAGTGCTGCCCCACGTGGGTGAAGCTCAAGACATTTCTCTTCGAGATTGTGACGGACCCCTTTGCAGAGCTCACCATCACCTTGTGCATCGTGGTGAACACCGTCTTTATGGCCATGGAGCACCACGGCATGAGTTCCACCTTCGAAGCCATGCTCCAGATAGGCAACATTGTGAGTGCAGTGCCAGCCATCGCCTGCGCTGTCATGGCTGGGGGGCTTTGGGTGGGTGACAGCATGCCGTCATTTGTTAGAGTGTTGATCTAGCCAGCTGAGAGCAGAGGAGCAGTGAAGGAGAGGTAGGGACATTGAGTGCAGGAAGTCAAGTCTGGAGGACCAGGCTGATTTGGTGGGAATTGCTTTGGGATGAACAAGCACAGAGAAGTGGACCAAGAGAGCCATGACCTAGGGGCATCTAGCTCCCCTTTACAGGACTTAGGACAGCCACTTGAATTCTCCAGATCTCAGCTGCCTCTACCTTGAAATGAGGATAATTGTCCCTTTCCCAACTAAAGACAACCTATGGACTTGCAAGTTCCTTCCTGTTTTATTGCTTTTATGACCACAAAACACAGTGACTGTGGTTTTTCAGTGCTGTCATCAAAGGGCACAAAGAGTGGGAGGGGAAGGGGAAGATAATGAGAGGGAGGGAACATGGAGACCTGGTTGCTGTTGTAACAAAAGCGTCAGGGAGTCAGAACTCTTCTTTTGTATCTGGCTTATACATGATGCAACTTTAAATTTTCCTCCATTATTTTTTAGTATTATTTGCTTTAAACAAGATAAAATCCATACTGGATTTCACTACATGCCGAGTAAAGTATCTGACTCAGAGGGAGAACAAGTGTCCTCAACCTGTGACCCCTCACAGGGATAATAACAGTAGCCAACTTTATTGGAACACTTACTCAAAACCAGATTTGGTCTCAGATGCTTCTCATGGATTATCTCATTGTATTTTCACAACAACCCTGGTAGACTGTTATTTTGACAACAACCCTCAGTAGGTACCTGGTAGGTATTATTGTTATTCCATTTCTCAGAAGGAAAAACTGAGGCACAGGAGATTAAATAATTTGCCCAAGGTCATAGAGGTGAGTAAGTGGCAGCATCGAGATTTGAACCTAGGCCAATTGGCTCCAGAGCTCACACTTCTCAACTCCTGGGCTAAACTCCCTCACAGGACCTGCTGATGTGTGTGAGAGAGTTTGCGTGTTGAATGTATGTGTATGTATGTGGGTGTATGGGAATGTGCACAAGAGCGAACGAGAGAGTGTACGTGCACACACACAAGTGATAAGCAGAACCTAGGAAGGTCAGGGTCTTGCCTCCATGTGTTCACCCCATACCATGTGGTCCTCCACACCAGTGTTCACCCCGCAAAAGGTGGCCCACTAGGTCCACCGGGACCCTCTAGCTCTTCTGAATCCTCTCGTAGGCTGCAGACTTAGGTAGAAGGAGAGGTCCCAGAAAATGTGACTACTCTTCCTTAGAAAGTTCCCCACTCCCTGAAAATCCAGAGATGTGAAAAAGATTCCAGTAGGTTCTGGAATACTGTGAAACCAGCGTGCCTTAGTTTTGGCAGCCCCTAGCCTAAGAGTCACATTCTATTTAAAGTTGATTTGCAAAGAGGAAATGGAAAGAGAAGGGAGAGTTCATTCTCCAAGAAGTCAGCATAGACTACAGAGAGCCTTACGAAAGAGACCTCTGAGCTCACGCCCTGATTTTACCTTGGAAAAGTTGAGGCAAGAAAGAGAAAAGGACTTTACCCCTGTGAAAGAGCACAGTGCCATTTTCTAGAAAGAAAGGCAGGCATTGTTTGGTGCTTATGATGAGTTAGGGGCTTTATAAGTCTTATCTCTGCATCACAACAATGCTATGAAGTTATCAGTCACCCTCACAGCCCAAAAGAAGGCACTAAGACTCAGAGAGGTTAAGTATCGTGCCTGAGGTGGCATAGCAGGTGAAGCTGGAGCCAGAGTTGACTCAGGTCTCTCTAGGGCACAGGACCTCACCCCCAACCCCTGCCACACCACAGGGCTTCTCTACAACGGGCGCTCAGTAGATGCTCTTTGAATTACACAGTTGCAGTCTTGTGGCAATAGGCAAGTCACTTAAACTCTCAGCCGGTCCCTTGACTGTAAAAGGGACGCAATCGTCTCTGTTTTCCAGGCTGGCCAGAGGCTTTGATGAGAGCAAATGAGAGAAAAGCGCCTGGCCCTGATCTTTGCTTTCTTCCTCCTCTGCCTCCCTCTCCTGCTGGTTATTGCATGGCTGAGCCTGCTCCTGACCTCTCTCAATGTCAGACTTCCATCCTGTTTAAGACAATTAGAGACACTCAGAGCTGAAAGAATCTTGGAGACATTGTATTCCCATTGTTCTTGCTAATAGCTATTATTTATTAATGAATTACTATCTGCCAGGACCTTTGCTGAGAACTGCATAGGCATCATCTCATTTTATATGCCCATTATGCAGATGAGGAAATTGAGGAACAGAGAAGACGCATTCCTTGTCCAACCTTACACAAGCCAGGAAATGGCTGAGCTGGAATTTTTATCTGGGTCTGTGCTGCTCCACAATCCATGCTTTTAAGCTACTGAACCAGACTGACTTCTCATTTCCACTATTATATGAGAATTATCCTAATGATTATCCACTTACTCCACTTCTACCGCCATTCATATGGAAACACTGAACCATGGGTTCTAACGCACATTCCCTGAGCACTGGTCCAGAGATTTCTCTATGGGCCACATGAATGTTCCCATCCATAATCCTTCAGGAGCCTACGGAAAATATAGAAACTGAATAAAAACAAGATAAAAGGATGTGCTGTTTTATACACAAGACATCTTCCTTCTGTCCTATTTGTCATTGTCCCCTCCCCCCAGACACTGCTGAGATGGATCCTTTTTCCACCCACAGGTCTTTACTGTGTTTTTTACTGCTGAAATGGTCTTCAAAATCATTGCTTTGGACCCCTACTATTACTTCCAGAAGAGGTGGAACATCTTTGACTGCATCATCGTCACTGTGAGCCTGATGGAGCTGGGCGCAGCCAAGAAGGGAAGCATGTCAGTGCTGCGGACCTTTCGCCTGGTAATGTTTTCGCTTGGTGACTTGGGGAAACCACCCCCACATCCAGGGAGGCTCACTCCTGGAAACAGACACTGTCTTTTGGAGACCCGGCCAGCCAGCTCCTTCTTCCTTTCTTATCCCTATGGGAGGGGGGCAGGGCATGGCTCCTGGGAGCTGGAGTCTTGGAGCTTTCCACTTACTTACCGTAGGAGCATGCCTTCTCCTCTCTGAGCCTGGGTCCCCTCACCTGCATCAACAAGGGACTTCCCAGCATGCTCCTGTTCTCTTTCAAATAAAAATAACAACACTAATCATAGCAGCTACTGTTTCTTGACCACTGACAATGTGTCGGGCACAGTGCTAAACCCCTGACAAAACATATCTCATTTCATGCTTATGATGACCCTGGGAGAGAGTTGTTTTATCCCCATGAATAGAGGAGGAAAACTGAGACACAGAGTGGTTAGATGGTGACCTGAAGTCTCCCAGCTGCCGAGCGACCTGCATCTCAAAGCCAGGTTGCCTGACTCCAGCGTCCCAGATTCTCTTGCCTCAAGGAGGTCATCCTGATTCCTGGTGCCCCGAATCACAGCCCCAATGTCTTGTGCACCTCAAAAACTGCCTCCAAGTACCCTCATGTCCTGGCTCTTCTCCAAACTCAGCTCCGGGACACCCTTTACAGGAGGAGTCCCCTATTCAAGTTGCTAGTGCCCCGCTACCCACAGGTCACCCGCTCTTATGAGAGCCATATCTATCAGATTTGTCAGATTCCCAAGAGGACAGTCTGAGATAACTGGGGTCCTGCAGTTCCCCAGGCCATCTGGAGGAAGCATGGCACCTCACCGACCCTTGGGAGTAGACAAGAGGCTTGAAGAAATCGTGTGGCTTCTTAGCATGAGCCCCTTGTTCTCAGTATTCTCTCAGTGCCAACAGGGGGCCCTGTGTCTTGCTTCAGAGAGAGATGAAGGAAAGCATGCCTGGCAATCTCACCAAGTCCTCTTCTAGGCCAGAAGGTCTGCTTGGGGCCCTCTTGGGGGAGCCAGCGAAATGGCACTGAGCTCCTGGACTTGATTTACTCGCATCGCGGTGGCAAACTCAAACCCTAAAGGAACCAGGTGGGCAATGAAATCAAACTAGCAAGGGAGAGATATTGGCCCTGGATATTTGTCCCATGGAAACAGACAGGGACGACTCGGTCCTGCCTGGGCAGAGCCAACAGGGAGGACAACTCCAGGGAGGGGCATAGACACAGAAATCAGCATGACTTAAGCCAAAGAGGTGATTTTGTCCATTATTGCCATAGTTTCCAATTTTTCACAAGAAACAGAAATGTAGATCTTTATGTGAATATTTTTAATATTGGCTACGAATCCAATTTTATACGAAGGACTCTAAAGGCAAACAAAACATGTTCCTGGATGCATTTGTGCCATGCGCCATTGGTTTACGACCTCTGCCTGAGAGGATGGTGCTCTCACCATCCTGTGGAGGAGAGGGCAGAGCGAGCCTGCAGAGCTCCTGATGCATAACCTGGAAACCTGAGAAGATCAGAATTAGATCACACTTTCAGATGGACAGATTTCTCTAAGCACCTAGAAAATGAGGACAAGAGGCGGGTCCCTAAGCTAGTGGTCATCAGAAACCATCCATGCACTATTCTATCCTCCCTGTGCCCTGGGAGGGCCCGAAGTTAGTTTCCTAATAAAATATGAACATTTTTGGAATACTTTGGAAAACACAAGCTTGGTGTTTTAAAGTCTATGTGCTACTTTTGTTGGGATTCCATGAAGCCAGCAGTCTCAAACAACCAAAAATAGGCAGTTTTACTCCACAGCCTGGGCCTACAGAATTCTCCAGGTGTCTCCCCTATGCCCCCGTCCTGATCCTGATTGACTCACAACGCCTCGGCCACCAGCCCCACACTTTCTTGGCATCATTTGGTCCTCCGCCTCCATCATCTCCACCTCCCTCGTTACCTGCCTTAGATTTCACGGTCCACCAATATTATGATGCCCTTGAAAACAGACTCAACCACCTTTCCTCTCTGCCGCTTCACACTTTTGTGTTTGGCAAAACCCTAACATGGAATTGAAGCCAATATTTCCCTCTGCCATGTCTGCACCTGAGCTGTGAACATTACCACAGAAAATTCACTCAGCCCAGACATCAGTTTCATATTTTTTATTAGGAGGCTTTATTTTTTAGAACAGCTTTATATTTATTAGAAAAACTGAGCAGATAGTACAGAGAATTCCCATATTACCCCCCCCACACACACACACACATACACAGTTTCTCCGATTATTAGCATCTTGCATTCGTGTGGTGCATTTCTTACAACTCTTCAGTGGTTTCTCATCGCTGTGAGGAAAAAATCCAGAGTCCCCGTGATGGTCTACAAAGTTCTGCATAGTCAGGGCCTGCCTGCTTCTCCAAACATCTCCTCTTGCCCATTTTGCTCCAGCCAGAGTGGCCTCCTTTCTTGTCCTCACATGTAACAGAACTGTTCCTGCCTCCAGGCCTTTGCACGTTTATTCCCTCTGCCTTGAATGCTTTTCCGCCAGTCTTTACTTAGCTCATTCATTCTCATCTTTCCTGGCTCAACTCACACATCACCCCCTCAGAAAGATCCTCCCCAACCACATTCTCTACAGTTGGATTCTCTCATCAAATTAACCTTTTCCCCCACAGTTTACTGTTATTCTGATATTCCATGAGAAAAACAACAGAGCTTTCTTGTTTACCATTCTATCTCAAGGGCCTAGCAGGAGCCCCAGCACATAGTAGGAACTCAATAAATACTTACTGATTGAAGAAAGAAAGAAAAAAAGGGAAGAAGGAAGAAACGGCAATTCTGTGTCTTCATTCTTGCTTCTTCCTCTCTTTTAAAGTACCATTCTTTCTCTTCCTATCATTTAAGGCCTTGATCCTTTAATCCATTGGCCTGTCCTTGGACCAATACTACACTGTCTCAGTTACTGCACTGGCCTTGAATCTGTGTCTATAAGGCATGTCGCCCACCTTGTTTTATTTCCTCAAAAATATCTTGGCCCCTGCACTTCCATATTCATTTTAAAATCAACTTCCTGCATACAAACAAAGCTGTTATCTTTTTCTATTGGGGCTGCAATCATCTACAGATCAATTTAGGAAGAAATATACCCTCACACTATGTAGCCTTCCAATCTATGAAAATAGCATACTCTCCAATTATTTCAATCTTTCAATAGTTTTATAACTTCTCCATAAAGTTTTATAATTTTCTCCACAAAAGATTTTCTCCATATCTTTTGTTAGATTTATTCCTAGAAACTCCTTAGTTCATTATGCTGTTCTAAATGAAATCTCTCTTTTGTGTGTGTGTGTGTGAGGAAGATTGGCCTGAGCTAACATTTGTTGCTCATCCTCCTCTTTTTGCTTGAGGAAGATTGGCCCTGAGCTAACATCTGTGCCAGTCTTCCTCTATTTTGTATGTGGGATGCCACCACAGCATGGCTTGATGAGTAGTGTGCAGGTCCACGCCCAGGATCCAAACCCGTGAATCCCAGACCACTAAAGTGAAGCACATGAATTTAGCCACTACACCACTGGGCTGGCCTCGAAATCTCTTTTTAATGTCCTTTTCTGTCTTTTTTTTTCTTTTTGTAGCATTTTGCTATTTGATATTTTTGTATCCAGAAATCTCTCATTTAATTCTAATGATTTATCTATATAATCTTTTAAATTTTTTACACAATCATATCATATGCAAATAATGAGTTTTGTTTCTTCTTTTCTAATTCTTACACTATTTTGGGTTTTTTATTACATTATTGTTCTGATTAGGACATCCAGCACACTTTTGGAAAGAAGCGTTAATAGTAGACATCCATGCCATTTTCCTGATCTCAAAGAGAATGCTTTCAGTATTTCATCAAGTCCGATATTGAGGGCAGATTATTTTAGAGATTAAAAGAAAAACTTCATCAGTTTAGGAAGCTATCTTTTGTTAAAAATATTTATCACGAAGAAATGATGAATTTTATCAGACAATTGTTCTGTGTTAAGACAATCACATGATTTTCTTCTTTAATCTGTTGAAGTGGTGAATTATATTAATTGATTTTCTAATGTTAAATCAACTTTGTATTCTTTGATAAACCCAACTTGATCTTGATAGATGTTTTATATATTAGAAGATTTAGTTTGCTAATAATGTACTTAAAATCTTTGCATCCATATTGATAAGTAATAGTTGGCCTGTGAGTTTCTTACTCGCACTGTCCTTGACAGGCTTTAGTGTCTAGGTATCAAGGTTATCTCATCTCCATAAAAAGAGGTGAGGAATATTTCTCTCTCCTACACTCAATCTTTGGGTAAGATTGGAATTATTTGTTCCTTATGGGTTTGGTAGAATTCACTAATGAAACAATCTGGAGGTCAAGATTTTTCATTACTGATTTAATTTTTTTAATGGCTCTGGAAATAGTCAGGTTTCCTATTTCTCAAATTGGTTTTGGTAAGTTGTATTTTTCTAAAAATTTTCCTTCTTATCTAAAGTTGGAAGTTTATCAGCAGAAAGTTGTGTGTGCTATGCTATTATCTTTGAAGGGTCTCTATCACCTGGACTTATGTTACCTTTTTCTTTCTTTAAAAGTAGTGATTTGTGCTTTCTCTCATTTTTTTATTAGTCTTGCCAAAGATGGTCAATTTAATTAGTCTTTTCAACGAACCGACTTTTAGCTTGTTGATCCTCTCTACTTCATTAATGTTTGCTACTTCAATTAATCCTGCATCTTATCTTACTTACCTTACTTATCCTCTGTTCTACATATTTTATTCTTTTCCAGCTTCTTAAGATGGAATTTTCAACCTATTTTCTTTTCCAATATATTCATTTAAGACCTCAGTTTCCTTCTAAGAACTGCTTTAATATGTAGAACTTTCCTTATTGTTTGGTTCTAAATATTTCCTAATTTCAAATTTGATTTATTCTTTGACTCAAAGGTTAATTAGAAGCATGGTTCTTAATTTCAAAACAT